GCTGTGGATATGAGTAGGAACAAAATGTGCATGGTCCCTGACCTCATAAAGCTTATGGTCTAGTGGGGTGAGTGTCCATAAACAAGTCAACAAACACCAAATCAAAACAGATAGGGGATTGTCTTAATCCATTCGTGTTGCTATAACAAAATACCACAGACCAGATGGTTTATAACAACAGACGTTTATTGTTCCCTGTTCTGGAGGCTGAAAGTTCAAGGAACTGAATAGTCTAGTCTGCAGGGAAGAAATGTATGGGAGGAATACTCTGGTCTTTCTACTCCTTCTTTTATTCCCCGCTGGGAAGAGGAGTGACTCATGGGCTTGCAGACTGAGAGGACGAACTGGCTGCCTATGGTTCAGTCCAGTCTCCTAAATCCAGTTTTGCAGAATCCAGGAAGCCTTCCTAAAGATGTTGGCTAAGCCGCAAAGGATGAGAAGAAAAGGAGGGTGAATGGTAGTAGTTTGGGGGAGGTAATCCTCAGGGCAGAAGGAGCAGCATGTGGAAATCCCTGGATGCAAAAAAAAACCACGGTCCTTGGGGGAAAAGGCCAGACATTCTGCATGGCTGGATTTGTAGAGGGTGAGGGAACAGGAGCTAAAAGATAAGGCTGGCAAAGGAGCCAGATGACAAAGGGCCTTAGGTGCCAGACTATGGAGTCTAAGTTTTATCCTGAGGGCATTGAGAGGGATAGAAAGGTTTAATAGAAAGAGTAAAGATACTTCATTTCTGATAGCTCCATCTATCAGAGATAGATAGTGGAGAATAGGCAGGAAATAACCAGATGGAGAATAGGCAGGAAAAGGACTAGAGGTTCCAGCCCTCTCTGAACTTGTAAGAAGAGGAAGCAAGCGTCCTCTGTAGTGTTAGAAACCTTTGCCTTGACCTTCTCCATCCAGTTGTCCTGGGCCCTGGGTCTCAGCTCCTTTCTGAGGGCCCACTTCATACAGCCCCCATCCCCGCTCTGATAACCACTCCTGCTCTCTCCCCTAGAGGCCTGGGGTAGGCACCCCAGGGTTTCTGTGCAATTCCTTGTGGTTTCTTTACACCCTGCCCACGTATTTGTAAACAAGTCCTTGCATGATCCTAATTTGATTGTGCCAGCTGTTCCTGCTGAGCCCCTCATGGTTACACCGTCTCCCCTAAATAAGGAGAAAGCAAGAATAAGTGACTCCGGAAAAGGATGGGACGGTCTTCCTAAGGATTATGGCTTGAGAAGTTTGCTGTTCAGGAAAGATAACAGAACCACTGAGATAGTGGTTGTCTTTTAATAGCCCTGCTGTTTGAATGACAATGATGGCGCTCACTTAAAAAGAAAAATCAGCGGAAATCCCACCGCCTGGAAACAAATGCTTTTACATGTTTGCTGGCTATCCTTCTATACATTTCTCTACAGATATGTTCACTTTTGTACATTTTCATACAGCTATATTCAATTTTGAGTGAGTCATACTCCAAATGCTATGTCAAACCTACTCTTTCTCACTCATCCATAAGCCTCAAGCATTGAGTTGCCTGTGGAATAATCCAAGTAGCTGTGCCCAGAAACAAATTGAAAATAACAATCTAAAGTTTAAGAGACTCAGTCATGGGGTCACCATCAGAGAGATGGCCATGAAAGCTGCAGGAGGCACAGGATCCCACAAGGCAGAGGGTAGGAAGGGAAGAGGCAAGAGCCACCATGGAGCCACTGGAATTCAGTGACAGAGCAGAAGGAAACTGAGGGGGCAGAGAAGGAGGTATGGGCAGCAGGGGAGTTCTTCTTGGCCTTTGAGAAAGAGGAGTGGTGGATTTAGCAATCCGGGATAGCTGGTGGCCCGGATAAGAGTGATGTTAGCCAAGTGGTAGAGTGGAAGCCACATTGTGGAAGAGCTCAGGAGAAAGTGGAGGTAGTCTGTTTGTCCCTCCCCACTGGCTGGCCCCTCGTCTCCCTCATCAGAGCAGCTGAAACTCTGCTCTATGGATGGATCATCTGGGGATATTGTCATATTGCAGATCTGATTCAGTGGGTCTGGGGTAATTCTAATAAGTGCCACTGGACCAAACTTGAAGCGGCAAGGGGCTAGATTAGGACGCCCACTGACAATGCCCAGTCTTGGATAATCTCACACAGGGCTTTTTCAAAGACACTCAAGCATGCAGAGATGAAACTGAATTCTTAGGGTCCTAGATTATTATTCATATCAGAAAAGTGCTCAAAAAGAAAACTAGAGGAAATTTTTGTTCTTGTAGGTCTAGTTCTTTTCTATGCACCTTGCTCGTGAAATTCCCTCCATTCGGGTCACTTAAAAGTGTTTCTCAAGTTCTAAACTTAAAAGGATTTTCTAGTTACCTTTTAGTTACTATTTCTACTTTAATTGCATTAGGTCCAAGAACATACTGTCTGATCACAGTCCTTTGAAAACTGTTCATATGTGTTCTATGGTTCAGAACATGCTCAATTTTTGTAAATGTTCCATGAGTACTTAAAAAAACATATTCTACTATTGTTGGTTGCAGTGGCTTATGTCTCTTAAGTCAAGTTTATTAACCGGGTTGATGGGTCTTCATATTCTATCAATTACTAAAAAGAAATGTGTTAAAATCTTTAGTCTCTCTGACTGGAAAGCCTTTCCTCTCCACTCTCTGATGTGCCCAGGCCTCCCTCCAACAACTGGGGATTCATGGTGACCAAAATCTGACCTGGTCTCTGCAGACCCTGTTTCTGCCCCTATGGAGCTAACAGCCTAAGACTTAACTGATCATGGACATCTTCCCACCCCTCTCAGATCTGAAAATATTTCTCCTTCCTCTGAGCTCTTATGATGCTCACTGTCTGTGTAACTAATTTAACATATACATAGTCTGCTTTCATTGCAATTATTTGTGTTCAAAATTTACTTCCCTATCAGTTTTTAGATTCCGGGTAGCCAAACATTATCCTGTTTTTTATATAACTGCTCTACTGAAATATAATATCTGACAAAATATAAAATCTACTCTTGTAAAATGTACAGTTCAGTGGGAGACTATCTTATTTATCTTGGCATCCTCTATAGCAATGGTTCTCTGCCTTGGCTGCACATTGGAGAGCTTTAAAAAAAAAAAAAAATGCTACCTGCTTCTTGCTCCCAGAGGCTCTGACTTAATTGGTTTGGGGTGAAGCCTGAGCATCAGAATTTTTAATAGCCCCAGAGTGACTTTAACTTGTAGCCAGTGTTGTCCTATAATTTGCATGTAACTGGCACCAAATAATTGTTTGTCCTAGTTTCTAATATGAGTTAGCCATCGTTTCTAATACCCAGATAATTAACTGACCCAGAACTACCTTTCTGTCTCCCTTACAGCCCCTCAGCTCTTTTAAAGATCTGCTTTTGTCTGTATTCCCCCACTGGATGTGAAAGGAAGACTAGGAGACCAAAGTATTTAGAAAAGATGAGTTTACTGGCAAACATATGCAGACCTCATTAGGACTGAATCACTGAGTAAAAAATACAACAGATATTTAAAGGGGAAAAAATGTAAAAGGAAGATTACCAGTTTACATTTGTCTTTTAAGCAGGTGACATGCTTGCATGGGGAGATATGTCACACATCCCCAAATTTCTGGATTCAAAAGTTAATGATAAAATGGTTTGCATTAGGGAATCAGTAACTTAGACTCAAAATTTCCCTCATTTTGTTTAAAAAAATTTTTTTTTTAATGTTTTATTTATTTCTAGAGAGACAGCGTGAGCAGGGGAGGGTCAGAGAGAGAGGGAGACACAGAATCTGAAGCAGGCTCCAGGCTCTGATCTGTCAGCATAGAGCCCGATGCAGGGCTCGAATCCGGGAACCGTGAGATCATGACCTGAGTGGAAGTCAGACGCTTAACCGACTGAGCCACCCAGACGCCCCAACATTTCCCTTATTTTGGACACCAGATGTAAAAGAGTAGTTCAGTTACTTTGTTTATCTTAGGATTGAAAGTGTCTTGGTTTTTCTTCCTGTGGGACTTGATGTACACTTTTAAACTGATGGCGCCACGGTATTGTTTTTGTTTCTACAGTTGTGAGCTGCATGAAGTCAGGGATCGGTTCAGCTTCATACATTAGGACATCCCCGTGCTGGGACATCATAGATGTTTAATATGATCTTAACTGGATATAGTGCGGCTTCCCGTTTTGATGCTTTCTGCAATTCTTGATTATGGCACTCCGAACTGGGCACACCCTAATCTACCTAGGCTACAACGAACTCAAGAGGGTTTTACTTCCACGTAAATGGTTGTTGATCAGAAGCCTCGCGGTGAGTAGCAAGCATGATTACCCCCGCACGAATAAATACAAGATTCTCAAGGCTGGGATCAGTCCGTCAGCGAGGCCGGTTATCTTGCCTGTCCTGTAACACCACTTAACACCTGCCCTTGACACCTCCCCACAGCCAGATCCCGAAGGTTCGCCTGGGCATTCTGAGTCGCGCCCCCTTGTCTACAGCAGCAGGATCTGCGCTCCCCCATCCCCCCCCCCCCACGCCCCAACCCTGGCCCTAGCGGGTTAAGCCCCAGGGCGCAATGCAGAGCAACTCAGGCATCTAGAAGACAAAGTAAAACTAGTTGCACCAAGGAAAGGAAGCATTATTTAGGCGGCCGGCTACTCCCCCACTGCCTCCACCCTGTCCCCTGGGCCCCGCGCCCGGCGCTCAGACTGTGCCCGGCTCCAGGAGCCCCAGCTCCCTCCACGTGTCCTATCTTCCCAGCAGCCTCCTCTGCTGCCTCGGGAAGAAAACCTACTGACAACTCGCGGTCTGTGGACTACGACTCCCAGCAGGCTTCGCGCCTCTTCTCTCCGCCCCCTTCACAAGACACGCAGGCGCCCTAGGCTCCGTCAACAGGCTGGGATGGCGACGACCGTACGCAGTTCCTTATGGGATTTGTAGTTTTTCTGGCTCCAGCGGAGCCGTCAGTCAAAGGGACCACAACTACAAGTCTCGGCGGCCCCAGCGTGACGGGCCCGGTCACGTGGCAGGGGGCCGACCTGGCGTGCGTGCCGCCGTTGATCCGGTGCTGCAGTGAGGAGGTGGTTCTCGCCCGTGTTGTGTGTATGTGTGTGTGTGTGTGTGTGTGTGTGTGTGTGTGTGTGTGTGAGTGAGTGAGTGAGTGAGAGAGCGAGTGAGTGAGTGAGTGAGTGTGTGTGTGGGGGGGGACTCGGCTTGTTGTTGTCGGTGACTTCCCCCTCCCCTGCACCCCTCCCCCTTCCCCGCCGCCGCTGCAGTGGCCGCTCCCTGGGCCGTAGGAAATGAGCGATAACGATGACATCGAGGTGGAGAGCGACGTGAGTCCTGGGGCTTCTTCCTTCCCGTGCGGGTTGTCAGGCGGGGACAGCGGCCGGGGCTCTCCGCGGGGCGAAGGCGGCAGGGGGGCGGTCAGCCTCCTCCTCTTCCCCTCCCCCCCCCCTTGACTGGGACCGCCTCCGTCGCGCTCCCGGCTCGCTCCCCCCGGGCTCCTAGCCGGAGCGGCCTTCTGGGACTGGAGGTGGGGAGGAGACACGCGGCCTTTGGGACCCCCACCTCCCCTCGTGGAGGAGGGTGCTGCAGCCTCCCGCTCCCACCCTGTCCCGCTCAGGATCCGGGAGACTGGGACGGGGTGCGCCTGGAATCCCATTGTCCGGATTCCGGGGAAGGGGACGACGCTCAGGACCTGCCCCATGGGTCCGCGATCACCCTTTTCCCGTGACCTGCGGATCCTGGGGGGTGAGGGAGAGCGGACAGGGGTTGGGAGTGCCTATATACCCCGAGCTGGGTGCGAGGGGAGGAGGCAGTGCTCTAAACCCCCTCCGGCCGAAGTCGGATCCCGGAAGGAGGGGCGGCGCTCGGGACCCCCCTGCCCTGCTACCGGATCCCGCTGGGGGGATGTCGGCGTGGGGTGGGGAGACAGGGAGGGGGGTCGGGCGACTCCCCACCCGCCGCTTCCTCCGCCGCCGGCATTTTCTTTCTTATTATTGAATGTGAAGTGTAAAAATAACTTCTATATTTTCTATTTTTTTTTTCTCTCTTATTCCAGGAAGAGCAACCGAGGTTTCAATCTGCGGTACGTCTCCTACTCTCCATTTCATTTTCATTTCCGTTCAGTTCTAGTCCTTTTTGGGGTCAGAGAGAAAAAGATTGTTCTATTATTTTTAATATTGTAGTAAAACTCTCCTGTTAACCGCTAAGGTGAGGCGGGGCCTTGTTCTGGGGTTCTAGGTGGGGGCGGCGGGTTTGCAAATCTAGACTCAGGTGATAAGTTTCAGTGACTGTAGGTGAGTGAAAGGAGCTGTTTGCAAAGAAATGAATTGGTCAGTAGTTTTCAGGTGGGGGATCTAGCTGTCACAGTGTGAGTGTAAAATGAGAAATGTGTCATTCTGAAGTCAATTGTATTATTTGGGGGCAAAGTTGTCAGATTTACTTTGGAACATGTAGGATCTAAACCATGTATGCATAGTTGTGTGAAGCTGAAGCCACATGCTAAAAATCATCTTTGACCAAAAGTCATGTGATTTCTATACGCCTATAGAATCTAGCACAACCTCGTATTATTGTAATGCAGAAATTCGAAATGTAGAGGAGTCAAAGGTTGAATATGAAAGTGTTACAAACAGCTTATTGTAGCCTGTTTGAGTTGAAGGAGAGGTATAAAGAAAATAGAAAACTTTTTGAAGAGTAGCATTGCAGAGGTAGATTTGCTAAAAGGTGGTGGTTGAGACCATACAGTGTTATCAGTAATTTCTCAGGGTTTTGATATTAATGTTCTCAGGAGATGTTCTGGGTTTAGATAGACACTAATCTCATGCTTTTCCAGCCTGGGACAGTACTGTGGGTGTTTCATGAATAGATTAGAGGAAGAAAAAAAGAATAGACACAAAATAAATCAGAGTCAGAGGAAGAGAAGTACATCAGAGTGTCTTAACATTTGACAGATGGGAACAGTACAGAGTTGGTAGAATGGGGGGTCAGAAATTCAGATGCCTCTGGGGGTCCCAGGCAGTAAGGTCATCAGGAATAAAATAGAGAGCAGAGATGAGGACTAGGGCTCTGGAGAGCACATGTCTTTTCTGAAAAGACAGCCACCAGACTCCAGTGGGTTGTTGTTATGTGGGGAGTGAGGGCTCACTGTTGCCAGATCTTCCTGTTGGAAGAAAGATTAGAAATCCAGATTTTTTTATTTTTCTGATTTTTGAAATGTTTGGGGACCTGTTAGAATTTGCAGGGTGCCACTTTGATGCCTCTGGTATCACAGGATGAAAGCATGTCCTCTTCCTTGTACCTACTATTCATTAGAGCAGGCAGAGTTTCTGCAGGTTGTCCAAACAGATAGATAGGCATGAAGAAAAATGTTTATTGAGAGCTGATGTTTCCATAACATCTGGAGTATGCAGTTGTTCCATAGGATTTTAAAAATCATCCCTGGGTAATAGTCACAAAAAAAGATTTTGTTTGATTTTTCCTTAAAGTGTTGTCAGATACTTACCTTTACACATATATTTGGAAATTCAGTTCCTTTTTTTAGTTACTGTTACCCTTAATGGTGTGAATGTGGAGTTTCACGTTTGGGACCCAGTCTATGTAAAACATTTTTTTTCCTCCAAGTTTCCGGTTATAAAATATACCCCAGGGCTTGATCAAGGTTGGAGGATAAGGATTGGTTAGGCCTCCTTTGTAGAAACATTATTTGAATTAGAATTACATTGGCCTTCCAATGAGTGAAAGTTTTCCTTGTGAAAGTTTGGCTTACAGTTCTTGAAAGCTTTTCAAAATATCCATCCACGTAGGTATTGATGTAAATTGCTTCATTAAATTATTAAAATGTTTCCACTCTCCTAGAATGCTAATGGCATTGTTTTTCCTAGATATTTTTAGTTTGGTGTTAAGGTGCCCAAGATCTTTCTCTTTGATTTTTGGGAAGTGGGCAGTGGGAGTGGATTTGACTCTGTTTTTAATTAGACACATCAATTTGCTGAGACTTTAAAAAAAATTTTTTTTTAATGTTTGTTTATTTTTGAGAGAGAGAGAGAGAGACAGAGCATGGGGAGGAGGGGGCGGAGATCAGAGACAGAGGGAGACACAGAATCTGAAGCAGGCTCCAGGCTCCACTGTCAGAACTGAGCCCTACATGGTGCTCAAACTCGCGAACCGTGAGATCATGACCCAAGTCAAAGTCAGGGTCACTTAACCAACTGAGCCCCTTTTTGCTGAGACTTTTAGACATTATCTGGCACAAAATAATCAAAATAACATGGAGAGATGAAGCAATAGATAAATTTTTATGGTATATCTAACAATTATTGTGAACAAGTAGGGTAAAAAGGATTTTGGGTGTTTGTTTTCTGTGACATCAGTTTATTTCCTGCCATTTAGTTTAGATATATAATATATATATTTTTTTAATTTGGAGGAAACTTTCTTAAGCTTTGTGTTAGTTCAGAAAAGGATGTGGACTGTGAACAACCAAATATTTAGGACCAGAAGAACTTTTAACAAGTTATTTGGAAAAGGTTCTGTGGGTCCTAATGTAAAAGGAGTCCCTCATTTGTCTTTTGGAAGGTCACTAACAATAGTTAACAGCCTTACCGTGTAAGAAATCTAAGATTCTCTGCAAGAATAGTTAGGAAGTGAGGCTAACTCTAACAGAAAGTGAAACTGATTTGATAAATATTTTTTTTCTGTTGCCTCAGTGCAAACGGAAAACAACTTAAGCTTTGTTGAAGGAAATAACCCCAAACAATATTTTTATTACTAAATTGTATACATCTCACCACCCCACTGATGTTATCTTACTCTTTTTTGGAGGAAAATAGCTACATTTTAAAGAAACTTTTCTGGGACAGGTATGTTTCATACAAAGTAAATCCTTTTATTTCTGTTTGGGAAATTACTTCTGGAAAACAAATGAAAGTAGACGAGAAATGTAGGGTTAGTGTGTTAGTCAGGAAACTGAAGGCATATTATCCTTCATATCAGCTGAATGTATTAGAGTTACAGCATATCTGTTAAGGGGTGTAAAAACAGATCTATGCAGTTTCACCTGTGGACCTTCCTCATGTGAAATATTTTTAACTTCTCAGCTCTCTGCTTCATTAGGAATTGTAATCTATTTAGAAGGAAATGAGCTTGGTCATCTTTGAGATTGGAATTTACTCGGAAGCCACTTTCTCTTTTACCTGGAATTAGTTGCATAGCAGAAGTGGCACATGCTACATGTAATTTGTGTGTGCTTCAAGTGATGACAGTGGTGCAGAAATGTCAGACTTCTTAAATATGCCTGTTTGTTAGAGTAAAGGGTGTTCTTTTTTAAGATGCCCGTAATGGGGAGAATGTTGATCATAGAATCCAACTTGGTTTTCAATTAACATTTCATGACCAAGGCATTTTTACTCTTTCAAATGGCTATAGTTTGATAGCATATTTGGATAATAGCATTCCCAAGTTCTTTTAGGCACCAAGTGATACAAAAAAGAAAGCCTTAAAATCACATGAATTTAGTAGATTTTAGAAATGGATAGCAGGCATTTGGCTTCTAGCAGGAGAGGTGTTGGGAAGTTAAAATTTATATCTTCCTATTAAGGACCGTAGTGATTTCTCATAGCTGCCCATTATTTCATGTTGCAGTTTTCTTGTTGATTAAAGTGAGTTAAGTTGCTTAGAAATTCAGTTTTATTTATCCTGTCTGCTTTCCATCAGAAGTAATAAATAGATCTTTTCTGATGAGAATTTTGAACCTGTGTTTTTTCCATGTTTGTGTTTAATAAGAATAGCTTATTAATAATAAGGAATACTATCTCTCCTCTAAAATGCAAACTTTGAATTTCTTAAAGGCAATAAATGTTTAGTGGGCAACTCTCAGTATATGCTAAGCATTTTTGGTATTGGGATTAAGATTGTCCTTATAGATAGGGTTAGATGTCAGGTAGCCTGAAAGAAATGGCATCGTTCTCGAAACCCTTGTGTGTCCTTGAATAATGGAGCATTTATTTCCTCGTGCTATTTGCCTACCTAGATCTTGCAGGAAATAAGGCTGCTAACTGATGTAAGGCCTTGAACGAAGATGCATTCTCTATGCAGTAAGTTGGAAGGAAATCATTTAAAGAGATTCCCCTCGATTTTGAACAGACCTCCTTAGCTTGAATGACCTCCTGCCAGTTTAGCAACTTCTTGGCTAAAAAAATAATGTTTGCTTTCAACATATAATAACACTTAAGATACATGTGCTTGTTAGTGTCAGAGGTGGACAAATTGTAGGTGAAGATTTTTACTCTGGCTGCCAGTATGGAACGTTTGGTGGAAATAAAACTGAGAGGCTGAATAAAAACCTTGGCAGAGATGTCAAAGCTGGAAGCGATTTGGTGCTGGAGTTCCTGTTGAGCATCTGTGGGCCACTCTTCAGTATCGCACAGCCCTTTAGGATTTCTGTTTAGCCTGGGATGCCCTGAAGGAAAGGTTTTTTGGCAGAAATTGCAAATTGAGTGTAGTTGCAGACTGGCAGCATCCAGCTACTGCTCCTATAGCATGTAAGGAGGAAGGCGCTTGTGGGCCTGCTGAGCAGTCCAAGAACACCTCTCCTGGCCCCTTGGATTTGTGCGGCACCACTCATTGTCATTCTCTGACATCTCAGTGTGGGCAACAGAAAGCTGGCTAATTTCTGAGTTGGGCTTTATTTAAGACACACAGTTGTTTGGCCCTTCCCATACGCCACTCCCACCCCCACTCCCCCCCCTTTTTTTAACTAGTTTTGAGTTTGTGGGAGGATCTCAGATGCTTTACACTGGAAGTCTTTGCCCTGTTTTTCACTCTCAACTCTGAAATCTTGGCTCTTTTGGAAAGGGTTTCCAGCAAGTGAAGACTGTTAACAAAGCAATGATAAGCCTGGCAACTGGCCCTCCATTTGGATGATTTAGAGTGGGGGGCAGGGGAGCATTATTATCAAGCTGGATGGATCTCTGTGGTTTGGAAATGTTTCCCGAACTGAATTCTCAGCCTTGTGTAAAGGTTTTTCATATGCTCTTTCAAGCCACTAGAGGTATCATTTAGTCTAGAGTTGCCTGGAGTTAGGCATGTTAGTTCTTCATATTTTTAACTTGCTTTTTTAGATGAGGCCTAGGGAGGAGAAAATACATCATTGCCATTGTCTCTGAAAGCTTTGAAATTGACTCTGGTTCAGAGTAGCCGTTTGGGGATGGTCATGGCCGCAGGGATTGGTCTAAGATTCTACCCTTCTGCTAGTTAAATTGGGCCTGGAACCACCACAGAAATTCCATCCACTACTTCGAGAACAACAGTCCCCAGCCTAGGCTTTCTACCAGGCAGTGGACTGTTGCCTTTCCTTGTTGAGCCAACTTCTCAAACTTGGCTGGCTCCCCAGATGAGAAGCCAAGATTTCTGCTGATGGTCCACAGCCAAGTTCACTTAACAATCCTCTAACCAAAAGACTTGTCCATTTGAGTCCTTTCAGGGCTCAGTGAATGGGGAGGGGGTAGTGCATTGTGGGGATGATTTTGGTGCTAGATTATACCTAACTCCACCCCTCTAGTGCAGACCTGAGTGAAACCCAAGTTCAACTTGATTCTAACCTTTTAAGATTTGCAGGACTCTCCCAGAAAGAAAACAGACAATTTGGATTTTATTTGTATCAACAAGAGGAATTGTGGGTAAATCTGCTGTCACTGCTTCTGTGCACAGCTCTTAAGCTGGGAGGAGGGCCAGGAATCAGGGTGATTTAGTAGACAGGAGTATCTTGGGCTGCTGCTGGAGACCAAGGCTGGGCAATTAATTTGCATGCCAAGTAAACCATCTTAGGGAGTATGTAGCAAATGCTGGAGAGGCAGGTAGATGGCAGATGCCATTTAGGTATGGTCAGTGCTTTAGGTATGGTCAAGGTTAGAACACAGCCCACCTTACCTGTGTAGGTGACTAGAGGAGACAGTAAGTTAGAAAAGGAGTAGGTACTTAAATATGTTTAATACCTTCAGGTTATTCCGTACTGCTTGCTGTTAGAAGGCATTGGCATTCCTGTCCTAATGCTGTGTGATGCGGCACACCTACTTCCAGCCTTAAGTTATCTGGTGTCCAAGCTTGATCATTCCCTCAGTTTCCCCGTAGATTTCATGTGTCATTGCAGTTCAGCAAACACACTTTACCACGAATTCAGACTTTGACAAGATTAGGAGGGTGTTAGAAGTGCCCAGGCATTCTCCCTGAAGATGAGTTGCCGTGCCATGTAGAACCATGGCCATGGTGAGAAACAGAACTGGAGGTGAGGGGTTGTGCTTGAGACACCAGGAAATGACTTTGGTTACCACAGCTGCTCCCGGCCTCCTCTTCCTCTGTAATGACTCAGACTTAGGCTTATATAGTAGAATTCTAAGTCCTTTGATTCCCAAGACTCTTGTCTTCATAGATTTTTGTCTATGTATCTTATCTAGTACAAGGATTCAGTTGAGGCATTCTTGTGCAAAGCCAAGTTATTTACTTTTGTTGCTTCATATCTAAAATCCCTGGTGTTCTGTCTGGGTAAGGCTAAAGCTACCCAAACTTTCCATATACAGACTCGCTCTTTGGGTAGCTCAGTGCAACCTTGTGTATTCATGGTAGATTCTCAGAGTATATTATACTCCATAATTCCCAAAGTGTGGAAGTGAACAAGGTTCTTGCTTTAGAGTAAGTTGTCTGTCCATTTGGAGGAAATGCCCTTTTATTAGGGACCTGCTAAAGCTCTCTTGCAGTGCCCACCAGCGCTCTCTTTTGCCGGAAGCCAGTGTATTTTGCTACTTCAGATTTGTCGCCAGACTTTGTTCCTCTCCAGCTGATAGTGCTTTGTGATGTAAGCAGGACAGAATAAAGACTTTGGTCCTAGGGTATTTAGATACTGCCAAATAAGCTTGACCTGCCACAGGTGCCTGAGGAAATTTATTCAGCTCATGGGGGTGTCAGATGATTTGCTGTCTAAGAACAACCTTTCTGGCACAGCCTGTGTGAGGGGAAGCCCTTGGCAGGATGGCACTGTGGATCTACTTTAAAAAACAGGAACTCAATGTGTTTGGTGTCTTGATCAGCTCTGTCATAATCTCAGATTCATGCATCTGGGTTTTCTAGGGGTTTTAGTTTCTATTGAATGGTTTGGTGAGCAGGTCTTAAACTAGTCCATTTTAGCAAGCTGGAACCCAGAGCAGACTCATGGTGATGGGTTTCACATGGAAAGAACTACACCAGTGACCTTAGTCCTTTCCTGGGCATCCACCATGGGGAATCTTTTACAGTGGGGGTGATCACATTTTATGAAGGGGGCCCCCCTGGAGCTTTTCCCTGGTCACTTCCTAACCGTGGACTGGCGGCTGTTCTGTCACATAAGTAAGTTGTGGGGGAAGACTGATGTTGCAGGAGAGTTACACTTTGTCCCATGAATAACTTTTATTTTACTTATGCATGAGCTGGATGCATCGAGCTACTTTGGATGTTCCTGTCGCAAGCCTTGCTCACCCCTTTCTCCCCCTTTAGCAGATCCTAATTCTGGAGACTCCTAACTGCCCACCTCGGCCAATCCTTCCCGGCCCAATCGCCAGGGACAGCGCTGACAGCATATACTTCCAGGCTATTCCCCACCACCTGTACAGAGCAAAGGGAGTGACATTGCTAATGTGCTCTTTCTCCCATTCTTCTAGGCTGACAAACGGGCTCACCATAACGCACTGGAACGAAAACGTAGGGACCACATCAAAGACAGCTTTCACAGTTTGCGGGACTCGGTCCCATCACTCCAAGGGGAGAAGGTGAGTTTATGGAGAAAGCTGATGGCCACACCTAACTTGGAACTTGCCGTGGGGCTTACCGGGGCACTCACCTATTTGGAAAGAAATGAAATCAGGTATTCCGGTTACATGGTTTCCTTACTTTTTTGATTCCTTGGGGTATCATCCCACACCTACTCTGTCCTTAGCAAACAATGACACATGTAGTGGAGCTGCTTGTAAGACGTTCGTAGGAATTATCTTTTAAAATCAGTATTATTTGTAAAAAAAAAAAAAAAAAAATTACTCCTTCAAGAATTTATTATAACTATAGTATAGACAGGAGCCCATAGACGTTTGGGATAACACTAAGGATTTCTGAGGTTAGTGATTACATAGGCCTCCGTGAGAGTTTCTTTTGTATGGTTCAAAGTTAGTGCTTATTTTAAATGAGACCTCGCAGGTGAACCAACATGGACACCAGTTCCCAGTTCCAACAGCTGTTATTTCAAGGCATGTAAAGAGCATGTTAAGCTATGGGACAAAGGACCTAAGGAAAGAGACCTGTTCATATGAAATGGAGGGAAAATGGTAACTGTTCTTCTCCTGCTTCCTTCCACCCCACTGATGGCCTTCCAGAAACTAATGTTTTCCCTGGAGAGGTAGGCACCAGCTGTTTCTACATTTGAAAAACAAAGTTGGAAGCTTTGAGTAAAAAGCATATGGGTTGGGGGTCACTTCTTGGAATTTGGAAAAAACATCTGTTTGCACAGTTAGTTACATCCTGAACACAGAATGTAGCCAGCTGCTCTCAGCAGCAATTCAGTGATATAAATGGCAGACTGGAAAGAGGACCTATGTTTTTTTGTTCAGTGATACAGTGTTTAAAACAGCTATTTTAAGAAAAATCACTGCTCTCAGGTACACCTCCCATGGCTCTCCTGATTTAGTTCTGTGGGTTGGGGTCCTAATTTTGGTTATCCAGAAGCAAAGTTGGAACCATTATAGTTTCACTTTGTACTGTCACTCTGGGAAATCATGTGCTTTATGCCTTATCTGAGGTGTGGCCTTCTATGTGACTGAAGCGTGGAGTAAGTCTGACCTTCATAAAAAAACAAAACAGGCCATGTGAATACCTAGTATTGCAAAACTAGAATTTGTCATGGGTTAGGCCAACTTAGTGTGGACTTGGTTTAAGTGTCCTTGAACTGAGGTGCTTACCTAGAATAACAGCATTCCTAGACACAACACTGTCTAAGCAGCACAGGAGATCTTTATGATGGAGAAGGCAGACTCATTCTTTTAGTCAAAGTACACAATGCAAAGGATTATCTCTTGTGCTTGTTTGAGCTGTTGACAGTCACTGCTCACTCATATGCCATGGTATCGATTAAAACGGCTCTGGTGAACTAAATGGAATGAGCTCCCTTAGGTCTCACATCTAACCACGAATGGCGCCAAGGCAGTGTCTCCCAAGAAGTGGCCTGGGGATCACTCACGTCAGATTCACTACTGAATCTGCCATTCTGGAAGCAGACCTTGGGATTTGTATTTATAACACATAGTCAGCTGATCCTTAGACATTCTTAAGTTTGAGGACACTTTGGGAGAGGTTGGTCATAGAAGCTCAGCTATACCATTTTCTTTATCCAGCCTATTTTATATTGCCGTAATACTCTTCAAGTCCTTAAAATCACAGTATCCTAAATCCTGTGTCTCCTTTCTTCAAGGGAGTTGACAGTTTGAATTTGGTAGCCTTTTAAAGTGAGTAGTCATTCATTGTGGCCAGTTCATTTATTCACTCACTGTTCATCAAATGCTACATGCCGGGAACTGTTCTAGATACTAGGGAGACAGCAGTGAACAAAACACACAAGCGGAAGTGCTTATTCTGGTGAGGAAAGATAGAAAATGAGCTAATAACATAAAATATATATAGCCTTTCAGGCAAGTGCTATGGAGAAAATTAAACAGGGAAGGAAGGTTTGCAGTTTTCAGTAGGCCAGCCAAAACTGACTGGCGGGGCAGCATTTGAACAAAGGTTTGAAGGAAGTGAGAAAGACGGAACCATGCGTCTGTCTGGTGGTGAGCAGTCCAGGCCAAGGGAAGGCAAGTGTAGTAGCCCCAAGGCAGGAACCTGGCAGCACTGCGGGGCCTGTCCAGAGCAGAGGCCACTGGCAGGGCTGGAACTGCAGGGATGGCGACAAGAAACGAGGTCAGAGAAGTAGCAGGACTAGGGGACAAGAGCGGTCAGGGGCCAGGTTATGTGGAGCCCATTAATAAAGAAAGCCCTAGTGTGGGAATTTACCAGGTGCCTTTCTAATTTCAGAATCCTGTTCTGTGTTCTAATCCAGATATTTCACATTGAGTATGAGAAAAGTAACCGGGAGCCCCTTCTCATCTGAATTCCACCATCTGCAGTATTTTTCTTATCTGCCAGCATTGTTTTATAGAAGTTGTAGGGAAAGAATACTTTGTCTCTCAGTCTTCCCTCTGCTTGTTAAATGTTTGATTTTTTAAAGTATAGTATTTGAACCAACGGAAATTGGCTAATTCTTGATTTGGATTGCAGTAATTAAGGTTGTGACATCGTACAAATAATCGTGAGTTTGGGGGAGTTTAGAGTGGACTCTTGTGGGAAGGCCTCCAGTCTCCCTTGATTTGAGCATTTTTAACTTCCAGGTGACTTCTCACTTAATATTAGAATCATCTGTTGTATGTGTCCCAAGGCTTTTGAGTTTTAAAGCGAAACCAGTACTGAGTGAATTGGATACTAACCTAGAATGGGGGATACTTCTTTAAAAAAAAAATAGCTTTAAATGTGAGACCCAAACTCTATCCTCTATTTCCTTTATTTCTACTGTTAACATCAACATTGTAAAAAGTGGTCACCTTCTGCGTAAGTTAAGAAAAAAAAAATTAGCAATAACCAGCATCTGTGTCACAACGTAAAAGTAAGCACAACAGTTCTCTCAGGTACTATGCTAATAGAATTGGACATTTGCTATTACTACTGCTGCCATCATTACTGAATCAGAGATGAGGAAGCAAGCTTGAGATCATGATCCCCATCTGTGGTTGGATAAGAACTAGAACTCAGGACTGCCGATTGCCAAAGTCAGTCTGTCTGCCACAATGGAGGGGTAAACAACTTGAGGACATTTTGAAGAAATCTTGCTTCAGTACTTCTATCTTGTCCCTACATTGGGAGCTCCCTCAAGTCAGAGCCACTAGTCTTGGCAGTGTGTCATACAGGGTTTATTGCTAGACTGCTGTCCCCAGAGGTGGCACGTGTACATGTCACTGAAGTGCAGACAGTTGAGGATCAGTCCGGTCTGTACATTTTTCCGAGTCCACATAGCTTCTCCGAGAAATAGACGATTATAGTCAGTGGTCCGTTTGAGTTTTGCCATAGGTCCCAGTGTTAGCAAGAAGACTCTTGAACTCTGTTGTTTGAGTTTCTTGTTTCCCATGTAGTTCTTAACTGGACATTCCACAGGGAAAGATGGGATGGAATTAGGACCATCAGCGGTCAGCCAGAGCAAAGGAGTAACAGCTGTTCTATAGGAAGACAGTACTTCTCTTGAACAGAATTATTCTTTGTTTTAAGGGCAGTAGGTTGGGTGCTGGGTAGGGTTACCCAATGGCTCGCTGGCACTGAACTCACCCTGTTTATGTGGGTTCAAGACCTGGTGCCAGCCCATCAGCTTGCCTTCCCATGGGGGTAGAATTCTGCCCTCCACCCGTTAAGTTAGCCCCAGCATCCAATAACACTGTCTTCTTAGCGTGGTTGACTTTAGTGACAAAAGGTTCTATTGCAACATTGCCATTTGTAGAAGTTTGTAGAAATTTCTCATCTTTTAAGTCTCTTCCTAAATATGTTGATCTTAATGTTTAATTGTCTCTGAGACCCTTGTGCTATGAATTTCTCCGTTCTGGATAGAGCCGTGTTAAAAAGAGAGAACATAACCTAAGATGCAAATAAAACCGGGGTTTCTTTTAGTGAGCATTAAATTCAGAATTCTTTCCTTTTGGATGAGAACATGAGGGCACTGCCCCAGTCAGCTCCCACCAGAGACTCCGGCACGTGGTAGTTCCCAGTATATAGCCGTGGAGTGAGAGTGCCAGCAGAAACCATGGGCTTGCTCAGTACTTGAACAAAATGGCATCAGCCAGCATGGTTGTGCTCACCTGCTCAATTAAGACCAAGACCTGTGCGAGTGCTGTAAAGGTGTAAAAGGTATAGTGTCTTGCTCCCTTGTTGGGAGAGAGGATTATATGTAACACTTAGCAATGATAAGGTAACATGCTGAGCATCAAATGAGAGGTTAAAATACTGAGCTAGTCTGTTTCATTTCCATTAAAGCCCGCTTCCTTAACATGGTAAGGTGTCTATCAGGTAGCTCCCTTATAACAGGGAACCTGACAGTTCTTACAGCTGAAGGTCAGTCTCCTGTTAAACTCACTCAGCACTGTGACCAGGGCACTTATCCCAGTAGTAATTGTACATATGCTTGTACGGGTACTTAGTGAATGTCTGTGCATCTCCCATACTACACCGTAAGAGGTACCATGAAGGCAGGGAGAACAGCTTCTGGTCGTATTGCTTCCCTCAGTGCCTGGCACACAGTAGGGTGCAGAGTGAGTATTTGTTCACTGAAGGAAGGAAGCCCCCTGGCCACATGGTACTGGGAGAGGCTGATCCTGGTTGGTACCTCATAAGGCATGCACTTCATTCGGCAGCACTGTTTCTACATCATATCGGGGCTGTTGAAGGGATTATCTTTTAGATGAAACGTAAGCCACAGCCCCGTCCATGTCACCGCCTTGCTCATTATTACCTTGACCAGACTCCAACCTGGGTAGTGATTTTCTTCACAATTAGGTTTTTCAAAAATTTAATTGTCTACCTTAAATTTGTTGTCCGTAGTTGCCCAAGTCTCCCTTAAATCCCTGGGTTTAGCAAATGTAAGTGTATTGATTTATTGAACTCTTTGTAAACTGTATTTCTGTGCTACTGAAAACCTTCCCAGGGCTTTTCA